CCGTCGCTCTTCTCACCTGTAATAGGAAGTTTTAAAGCGTTCATCACAATGCGGGATGCCAATCATGGCGCGCGAAGACCTTCATCAACCGCCTCGGACCTCAAGGGCGGCGGCAAAACGTTTCGGCGAGACGAAATCATGGAGATCCATAGCCAGGCGCTCGAAATGATTGAAATACTTGAGCGAATGTCCACGATACTCGAGGCGATAGAATGGGGGGAGTAAAGAACGATATGATACTGCCGATCCACGGGCCTCTGCGAGAGAAGATCGGGATCTAACGCGGAGCATTTGAGTGCCGGTAAGCATTATTTCCATATCCAGTGGGCTTTATTGCTGACCGTTCAGCAAGGTCCGTCGAGAATAAGTACAAGGAACGCAGGTTAGGGGAATGTGATTCTTACCGACTATGTACATGTACACCTGCGATCCAAGACGACCTGCTCATTTGTGGTGCTGATGGGATGTGAGGTCATACGGCTACTTCTCGGTTCACTTTCGTGGCGGCAGTTTCTCCGAGCTCGAGTTAGACTAAAGTTATATTTCCCATGATGAAATGCCCTCAGGCCATTCTTTTCCAGCAACGACCACCATGACTTTAAGCCTCCGAGATATTACAAATCGAATTAAACCCCATCGCCTATTTCTTTAAATGGCTTAGCTTCCTTTTTTGTTTGACATTTTGAGGGGCACTCAGGGCCTCGGGAACCTTAGCTGGCTTTCTCTTAGGTCCCGTCCGGTCCGTAGCGGCACAGTTGGTGGCTGTCATTTATTTAGTCCTATCCAGACAGGCAAGGAGAATCAACGGCGCTGAAATCTCCAGTCCGTTAATTTCTGCGCTGATGGTCCCCCCTACTGGATGGAGAAGGCGGCAAAGAATGGGTGTCAGAAACCTTGTTTATTTTCTCCCCTTGTTTCTTCAACAAAATTTATTCGGTTAGTGAGGGGTCAGCTGCGTTATTTTATCTTGTGGTCGAAGCTAACTGGCTGAATAGGGACCAAGCCCCGCGATTTTGGGGGTTTTGGATGCTCGATGATGTGATCTTGCCGTTTCTGCGGGATGCTAGCATGAATCCATCTCTGAATTTTCTCATTTCTTGGGGGCGGGGTAATGTACTGATGCTCTGAGCGAAATTACGCAGTACTATCCTTGGAGGGGTAGAGAGACTCTACTCTGTAGTCCTGGAATAAAAAACAAGAAGAAATCAAAAATAATTTTTTTATAAAAGAAACTTCTTTTACAGGTTGCTAATAGCTTTAGCCGTTTAGCCAAAAAAAAAATAAAATAAAATAAAAATAAAAATAAAAATAAAAATAAAAAAATAAAATAAAATAAAAAAATAATCCCGGAAGCTCACAAAGTTCAACCATTCTTTTACCCCTCCACCCCGCTTCTACTCATACTCTCTCTCTCCGCCGCCCCCACGCACAAAATACAACCTTCCACCATAAACTTTTTCCTTTCTTTTTGTCTACTCAGTCCGTTACGGTCTCTGCCATGACAGCGCCATTGAGACTCACCGAGCTTAGAGGCGACTAGACTGGTATATAAGCATTTTTACCCCGCGAGCGGCTTCCACACTTTGTTTGGTTCCCCTTTCCCGTTCCCCGAAGAAAAGGATTAACCAATTAAGATTTTATTCAATTTCTATTTTCTAGAATATTATACGAAGTATATTATATGTATTATTTATTTTACTTTAACTTTGTAATTTCATTTTTGTTTTTCAATTTTTACCTTCTACCCGCTTTTGCACAAAGCCAACAAGGGCTGGAGGTTGAAATCTGACAATGGTTTAACTTTACGATAACTCTAAAACCAACCCCACAAATGCGCATCGACAAACCGTTACTAGCAGTATTCCAATTTCACCGCCTTCGGCACAGGGTTCGGGTTAGAGGTGGGTTATGGTTAGGAATCAGGATCAGGGTTGGTTTCGGGGGTTGCTTAGAATTTGGGGGAAACGTAGAGAAAAAGAACACCTTTTCAAGTTCCCTGCGCCGCCTCATTAGGATGAAGGGGATGGATTGATGATGACCCTGGGAGGAAGCGATATGCAGCTATAGGGTATTATTGTTAGTTACCTGGGCAGTGGCTTAAAATTCTAGAAAGAACTCTCTGAACTGCATTCATATATTTATCAGTTGCGGACATAGTTCGGCAGAGGTACAGTATGGGCGTTGCTAAGTGGTTTTATCCAAGGTTGAAGTTATGGGTTTAGAAATCTCAGCCGGCAAGGCTTTCGGGTGTGGTTTAAACATCTCAGCAACTGTAGATCACGCATCTAAACTACACCACCACAAAGCATTATTGAGACCCATAGCTCTGGCCCTCACAGAATCCCAACCCCTAACTAGTGGATGGCGAGTGTGGATTAGCACTAGCAGTGTATATTGAGAAAGTTGGTGATTGTTGTGGTGTGGGTGTGTTTTAGCTGGGGGCAGTAGGAGTTGAGCGTGGTTTCAAGTTGGGTGACTTTCTAAAAACCACGTTCAAGTGTACTAGTGCCCTATCAGGATATTTATCCATTTCTGTTATTGAGTACTCGTAACTACTACCCAGGTAAAGAAATAGTTATGGTCGGGTGACTGATACTATATCTATATCTTTATCTATATACTGTGTGTTATGTGGAAGCGAACGATTCTAGAGAGAATAATAGGTCTTGTGGCCACCACCACGGCAGGGGAGTTTTAAACATAGTTTTTCACCCATCGATTCCCTCCTTTGATTCCCTCCCGTGTGTTAGAGGGGGGAATATATGCGGTCGACGATACGATGGGGATGCTGGAACATTTTCTATTTTTGATTTTTTGTTTTCTTTCTTTCTTTCTTTCTTTCTTTCTTTTTTTTTTTTTTATCGGTTGAAAAATAGAACTTGATAATGAGCGAGGGGATGGTGGAAATGAAAAGAAAAAGTGACCAAGGGACCTGAAAGTACACGTAGGTAACTTAGGTAGAGCTGCGGGTGGCAGAAGCGTGATCTTGGTCCGTGCCAGTGATGTTGAGGATTCGAGCAGCATGGTAGGAAGGTAAGTAAATGAAGCTGATAAATTCGTGGCTAGATATGGGCGTTTTGTCTGCCTGCATGAAAAGAATTTTTGCTTGATCGATGTTTGAGATTTACTTTTTTTTTCAGAGGCGGCCAGATTTCAACATGTGTGAATGCACGCGTATTGGACGTTTGGGTTGAGGCGGACCATGCAGTTTTCTCTTCTCTTATATAGAGATATATATATGGACTCTTTATTTTCATCTTCCACGATGATGATGATGATGATGATGATGATGATGATGATGATGGGGATAGATACGGGAGATAAAGGTTCCAGTGGAGGTCATCCGGTTTTGCAAAACTGGTGTGGTGGTTTTTGCAAGACCGGGCCAAGTATGATGAAAAACACGTAAAATTAGTTGACATCAAGACTTTTTGAATGTTTTGCATTGCGTACACGGTGGGTGGGCATACTGAGCATTATGTCCCTGTTTTAATGCTGTAATAATAATGGTAGCAGACGGACGCATCGGGAAATTTTTTTCCAACTGGGGGGATGTTTTCAGCCAGGAAGAGGGAGGAGAAGAAGTTATGCCCCCCAAAAAATAAAGAAACAGTGTTTGAAACCAGAATTGTTCGGAAATGGGCCACACAACCCATGACAGGGATAGCTGCAAACCGGATAACCAATGAGCTTTCATTGATATACAGTACATGTGCTTGTAAAGGATATGTATGTCCCGTGAAGATAGCCTATATTCAAGGGCTGGACTGGAGCCTGGGGCAAGAGGCTAGAGCAGTCCTAGGATCAGTAGCTGGCTATTCAGTTTGTTGTTACTTGAATATGGAAGGAGTGGCCAGGGTCGTTTGTGAGGCTCAGAAGGTGTGAAGGCACACGCCATGGTTCGGCTGGAAGTGTCCGGGAGTTAGATCGGGGGGATGAACGAGAGAGTTTGCAACCCTCGGAGAGCGCAGCAAGCAAAAAAGCAAACCTTATCGTTCTCAAGTTGAGTTCAGATTGGAAGAAAGACAGTGAATGCATCATACATCTACAACGGCTGCGTCCAAGTACGAGTGATGTATGAGATATCAATGTCTGGCGGCTCAGTCAGCCCTAGGGCGAGGGGAAGAAGTCTCACTGGGCCTGGACAGGGACGTAGTAATGGAACATGAGAGATCATAGGAACTGTAATATTTGGACACGGCCCGAGAAATGGCGGGAATAAAGAGTACTCTGGAGATGAATGGAGTGAATGGAAGAAGGAAAAAGAAAATGGCACAGGCAGTGGTTATTAAAGGAGAACAGACAGATATTGGAAGAAAAGGAATGGAACGGAGTTAGTACATGTACATTCAGAACTTGAAGATTGGAATTGAAAATTGAAACATTCAACCATGAAGGGAGGATATATAAAAATAGGCATTCCTGTGTCAATCATGCACGAAGAAGAACAAGAGAATTGAAATAAGAAAGAAGTAATAATGGGCAACAAACCGCAGCCAGTAGCATTCTCGGTTTCAGTTCTTGATGGCAAGTGAACAACAGGCCAAACCCGCAAATAAATTGTGGTCGAATTCTGTACAACTAGAAACTAATAGTTGACTAGCTATCTAACCTGTTCGACTTAGCAAGTCGTCGCATGGAATAATAATAGCTTTTGCTAACTTTTCTGCCCGCCACGGACGTTCGGCAAGCCAAAGAGCAGCCTTTCTGCTAGCCCTTGCTGATATTGGCGCTCTCACACATCAAATATTAATTTTTGCTGGTCTCGCTGGTCTTGCTGGTCTCACTGCCTCTCGCTACCTCTCGCTGCCTCTCTCTGCCCGCTGGCTCTCCTCCTTTACTTCGTCGCCCCTTGGCAGACCCCCTCGCACATTCCCCCCCCCTTTCCAAAATATTCTAGTCTATCAGATAATCTATCTCGTTAGTTATTTGATACACTCAGAGAAAACAAAACTAGAAATAAACAGAAATAAATTAAAGAAGCAAAATAAGAGAAGATAGAGCTAAAACCGCACATTCTCTCTGCCCTGGTGGCTCTGTGTGTTGTTTGCTCCAAAAGTTCGGTTTTTTTGCCCCGAATCTCTCCACCAAACGGTTTAGTTCCCTTTGCACCATTTGCACTTTATTTTCTTTCTTTTTTTTCCCTTTTTTTTTTTTTTTTTTTTTTTTTTTTTTTTCCTCTTTTGCTCTCCTCCAGCCTCACAACATCCCGCATCTCCTCCAGCTCTTCACAACTCCCTCCGCCCCCCCAGGCAACAGCACCATCATCAACGGCAGACTGCAACAGCAAGGAGTCTGTAGCCTCTCAATTCGCTTTCTTGTCTTGTCTCGCCATCGTGACGTGGCTGCAAGCTCTTCCTCGCCCTTCGCCCGTCTCCTTCATCTGGGCGTTGTCGCCGCGTCTCCTTGGTGGGCTCGCTGTTCGTGACCAAAAAGGAAAAAAAACAGTGACCAAAAATACAAAATACGGGTGATCTCAATCGCGCCTCCTTTTCTTTCGTTCCACCAAGAAGGAGACCATCGGAGAACCCCTCGGCCCTTGTCTCGTCGAAACATCTTGGCCCTTCGTTCTTCTGTCTTTACGGTTGTGGAGAAAAGGTACGTGTGTTTCGGTAGCTACGATAATCATTCATCGTTCGCTCCAGCATCTTCCCAAAATTAAACCTGAAGACCTCTCCTTGTCCAAATCTATCGTCTTTTCCACTCATTTATTCCGGTCCATCCGGCAAATTCCCTTGCCATCCTTCCCCTCCTTCTCCACAAGAAGATTTCAGGCCTACACAATCCCTGTCTATCCTACCCTCCCGTTATCTCGGATTGTTTTCGACCACTTTCCCAGTCCAAGGCTCTTTCTGGCCTGAATTATGCCCTCGTCGTCTCGAATTGTTCGCTAATGTCCAACCCCATCTAGATTTCTCGGTCATTGCGAAACTCCGATTTCTGAAATTTCCCTTCCAAAGGACTCCCTGCCTGAAAACCTTTTTTAACCCCTCGTACCTCATCCGTCTGGTAGGCACGACTTTCTTTCTTCGCCATAGACAGTTGATAGGCCCTGGACATTCCTGGGTTTAGAGAAGACAGCAGTTGGTGGGGCAGCCAGAGGGTGGAGGTTGTCCGTTTCCGCCAGGCCGGCTGTTGGAGTCGTTTATCGTTGCTGGACTCGTCCAGCTTACGAATCCCTCCGGTTCCATATAACTGCATAGAGAATCCGTGCCATTTCACAATCCAGCCTTGTCGCGAAATATCTTGAAATTTTGCACTCCAATATGTCGACCTTTACGACTAGACCTGGGCCGGAGATGCCTATGTTTTCCTATGCCCAAGCCGCGAAGGGGTTTTCTACTCTTCCAACCGTGCCCAACGTCGTTGAGAAGCAGAACAAGTCAAACACGACATCGTCAGGTCCAAGTAGCAATAGGACAGCTACTGGATCAGTGGATGGGGATAGGTCGAGCCAAACCGTCGCCTCGTCGACAGACATGGAACCATCGTCCGTTGCTACAGAGCCTACTAATACTACTAGCAAATCGCAATCGTCTTCTCAGCGCAACTCATATTCGACAGTCACCGCGCCTGCTGCTGGTACGCCTGCCATTGGTACACCATCAAAGAGTGCAACTTCTGGGACTTCCTCTCCATGTGCAGGAGCCACGTCCAGCGCCACTTTGCCTAAAGAAGATGATGCACGGGGGCTCCCAAATGGCTTATCTGATTCAAACTGGGACAAACAGTCTCAAGTTTCCGGATCTGTGGAAAAGTCAAGCGAACGTGGAGAAACGAGCAAAGAAAAATCGAAGGAAAATGGTTGGGAGAAGGATCCCGCTGTTTTGAAGGAATTGAAGGCTGCGCCAATCCCTACTGTCAATGTCTGGCAGCAGAGGAGAGAAGCACAAGAGGCTAAGGCCAAGGCTAGTGCTTCGTTCAAATCGGCTACGACCGCTGCTGTCCAGCCTGTTAACTCTAAGTCGCCCGCTCCTAGCGAGAACCGTTCTGAAAGTTCCAAAGGCGGGGCAAGAAAGAAGAATGGGTCTACTGAAGTCGTGGCGGATGCGACCACATCCAAGAAAAAATCAAACGAAACCGGTAAGATCAAGGAAGAAGGTAAGGGTTGCTTGTGCCCTGCCCCAAACTTTTATTTTTCCGTCACTCTGCATAGGTTCCAGAAATTATGGCGTGCGCTCAAGTAAACCAGCGGATACTGACGTTGAAACAGTAGAAACCTTCCCTCCAGTTGGCGACCCATCATCTTGGCCTACTCCCCAGCTGGCACAAGGCGAAGAGTTCCGCAAGGCCCAAGAAAAGAATGATAAGACCGATAAGTCTGAGAAGGAGAAGACGTCTTCTGGGGGATTGCGCGGGAAAGAGAAATGGATGCCTGTTCCCTATGTTCCGACAGCTGTATTTAATACTCCGCTCCCCCCTGCTGCTCGAAGAGGTGGACGAACTTCAAGAGGCGGGAGAGAAGGAGGTATGCGCGGTGGCGCCCATCCTTCCGTTCCCGTGTCCAGTGGTGATCGAGGGGTCCCTGCGTCCGCTTCAAACGCCAGTGGATCAAAACAGATTGGTTCCAGTGATAGGGGCCGAAGTGGTACTCGTGTTGTCTCTGACCAATCAGAAACTACTCAGTCCGGAAGAACGGGTAGCGCAACTGCTACTACTTTGTCGTTGGATGAAAAGAAGACTCCACAAGCCACCAGACATAGAGCCGTTAGCGAAGCAAAAAGTGTAAAGGCGCGAGAGGAGCCTCAAGGAACTACAGGAGGCGAAACTCAAAATCATCAACCTGCTGCTGAAGCACCACGTCAGCGACAGCACTCCAAGAGCTTTGGTAGAGTACATGACTATTCCAATGTGGTATCCCAGCGGGGCGCTGTCCAAGGAGATTCTCAGGCTGCCACCCGCTTTAGCTCGAGTCATGAGCGCCGTGTTGACAACGGCCCCAGATCTGCGGACTTTTATAAGGAGACTCCCACTTTCCACCAAAGGGATAGAGAATACCCACGGGAACGTAGCGACTTCCACCGCGATCGTGAGTATGGTAGAGAACGTGGAGAATCTCGTCCCGAAAGAGGCCGCGGAGGGTATAGGGGACGGGGCGGCCACGCAAGCTACGGCGGAGCTCATAATTCGCAATATCATAGCCCCACAATTGGACAATCCCAGTTTCAAAGTTCGAAACCGTTTTCACTCAGTGAACGTCACCGTTCTCACCAGCAGGCTTCCCAAAATGGCAGCCAGCACCATGGTTCAAACAGGGGCCCTAATATGAGATCACCATCTCATCCATCATCAGGAGTCTATGGTCTGACCCCGTATTCTATTCAAACTGAGATCAATGCGATATACGGGTATCCCAATTTACATCAAAGTCCAATGACCGCGATTCCATACCAACCATACCTGGAGCAGTTTTCTCTCATGAGCATGATTTCGATGCAGCTGTAGGTCCCCAGATTTCCCTCAAGTCCCAAATCACCCTCGATCATGGTTCAGCTAATGAATTTCCAGGGAATATTATTTTTCGGTTGATAATCTTTGCAAAGACTTGTTCCTGCGGAAACACATGGATTCGCAAGGTTTTGTTTTGTTAAGCTTTATCGCTGGCTTCAAGCGGATTAAGAGCCTCACCGAAGACATGGATATGCTTCGTCTTGTCTGTCGCCAACTCAAAGGTGTTGAATATAGACCTGGGGAAGATGGGGCTGATCGACTTCGCAAGCGGGAGAAATGGGAACAGTGGATCCTCGCAATGGAGTCTCGCGATCCTTCCGCCCAGAATGAAGGCCCTCCCCCACTTATTTTGTCATCTCCAGCTCACGATGGGAATAGTGATGATTTGAACTCGACTCACCTAGAGACCCACGTGCCATATGGCAATGGGTCTTTACACGAGATCTCCGGAAACGTGATCCCTTCCAATTATTCGGCGTCGAACGGCACTTCTTTCGAGACCCGCGGGCGTCGGTCCGTATTATCGTCCTCTGCCCCCGAATTCTCGCCAGCTTACATACCAGTAACGGCACAAAATGAAAATGCGAATGTAGGAAAACCCATTGATAATGAGAATACTTTCCCCGACGAACAGATTGAGAACTTGGTGATTGTGGTGCGTAAGCCAGGAATTTCCAGCCCAGCGCAGTCACCTTTTCTCCTCCCTTCGTCTCGTTCTTTCTCCAGCGGTTCTGTTGACGGTTACAAAGCAGCGGGTGGGACAGTGAGCACAGATAAACGACCATCTCGACCGACGTGTGCGACCCCGATAAATGTTACAAGGTATATACACCACCCTCTTCCGAAGAGAAGCTGCATCCCAGCACGAGGCCTCCAGCCATAGTGATACTGACGTCACAAATAGCATACCTGACGGGCAGTGCTGTGGAAGATCTCCCCCGTCATCATCGTCTAAAAACTCTGAAATAACAGCTAGCGCCAACATGTCCGCGTTCTGGGTCAAAGACAGAGACACCCCGATCGAATCCCTCCCTACCGACCTTCTTCACGAATCCTATAACGTATTCCTAAAAAAAACGCTAGATAAACGATCGTCTGCCATAACGAGTGACGGAAACCTGGATATGGACGTTCTTTATCAATTCTGGTCTCATTTCTTGGTCTGCAATTTTAATTCAAAAATGTACAATGAATTCAGGAGTTTGGCGTTTCATGATTTGCATGCAAACAATTCTACCACCGGCCTCAACAGCATCATCAAGTTCTATGACGGCGTGCTTGCGAGCAGTCGACCTATGCCTGACACCGTCTCTCTGGACCTTGTCCGGCTGGTAGAATCCGAGCTGGAGGCAGCGAAAAAAGAAAAGCCCGCATTTCAGAAGCTCCGCTGTGCATGGCGGAATGGTGCGTTCAACCTGAAAAACAGGAAACGGATTGAACGCATCATCAGCGAACGCGTGAGAGCGGAGCTGGAGAAATGATCTAAAATACCTTCCGCTTTTTCCCTCTTGAAAATTTCTTCTGTGTGTGTGTGTGTCTGTTATTTCAATATTCTTTCCGGTTATCATTGGTGTCGTTTATTTTTCTTCTTCTTTTTTACATCTGCCTCTTGTGTGTTCGCTTCCTTGATTTACCCCCCTTCACTTCATGTGTTTTTTTTTTTTTTTTTTCGGATTCCCATATCTGTTCTCTCCCCCAATCAAGATGACCAAATCGACGAAGTTATGTTCAGTGCTGAAAAACTGCCGCTGATCTTTCGACCTCACATTTGCCGGAGAACCTTATCAATTTTATTATTATTCAGGTGTCGTCTTAAGTGATGCTGCTAGATTCCATTTATCTGTTTCCGTCTCCGTTATTTTATTTTTATTATTATTGTTTTTTCTTCTCCACATCCCCTTTTCGTATTCGTGACATGGATCCTGCTGATGTGTCTTTGCCTTGACATTTTATTTTATTTCAACTAAGTGTTGACACCATTATCCCGATTATCATAGATTTTATCTTACCTTTGCATGTTCTTATCTTCCCACTTATTTTTTTTTCCTGCCTTTTTTTTTTCTTTCTTTCTCTCCTTTTGCTATTGTTTTTGGCTTCCTTTTTCTTGTTTTACCTTTTTCATAAAACCGTTTTCTTCTCTTTTATGTTTTCTCCGTTATAGTTTCTTCTTTCATGTCTGCGAATCTAGCAGGACGGTCGGTTTGAGGTTGGCTTATAATTTTTTTTTTTTTTTTTTTCCTTTAACTTTTTTTTTTTCCTTTAACAAAAGAGGTGAAATCGAATACAGGGTCCTGCAGGGATCAAAGCACATCATCGGCAGAAGAAAAGGAAAAATCTAGGTTATCTTTTTTTTTGTTTCTCTATTGATTTGACAGTATATTTTCCTTTTTCTTCTTCTTCTCCTTCTTGGTTTTTTTTTTTTTTTTTTTTTTTTTTTTTTTTTTTTTTTTAAATAACAGCAAATCAGGCGAGCCGGATACGCAGAAGTTCAGGTCAAATTTAACCTGTTTGTGTTATGGGCGAGGAAGGGCACAGAACGAGAGGCCTAATTCAATGCGGGGTGTGAAGCAAGGGTTGAGTTCAACTGCTGTTCTTTTCTGTGCTTTACTTGCTATATACGTCTACGTCCTTCTCTCTGCTCCTCACTCAGCCTTCAGTTCAGCACCAAAAAGAGAAAAAAAATACAAGGAAAAGCGATAAAACTTCTACCTCTGCCATCTGATTTCATTGTTTGCTGCTACTTTACTACTTCCATTTACCCCTTCCTCGTATAGTCTGGCTCTCCCATTCTCATTGCTTCTGGTGTTTCATTGCTGCCTCCGAGAAGAAACAAGAAACAAAAACGTTGTTTATTTGCTGTTACCGCTTTTTTATCTGCTTTTCCCTCTTGCATAGCCGGGTTTGTTCTTAGTATTTTTAATATATTTGCTGGCTTATATACGTTCCCCCGCTTGCCCACAAAATTCATTATTTGTCTTTTGCAGTTTGACTTGAGCTCCGAAAATTTCCAGTCGTAACAATGCGATAAGCGTAGAATTAATCCGGAGTTCGGAGAATATATCCGAATTGGGCCTGGGTATGGTCCCCGGTTTTCCGCAAGTTTAATCTTTTGCTGTTTGTTCGTTGGTCGTCTCCAGCTTTCATTAAGCAAAACTCCACCCTATCCTGCATATAGTCCACTGAATAGCCCCAGCTGTATCCAGGCAGCATGGAGGCAGCATCGCAGCGGGTATTATCTTGCGGCGTGCGGTTGCACCCGTCAAACCAATTAATATCCCGAGTTTTTTCGTCTCCGTCCATTCCCACAGCTGCCGCCCTCCGCTCCATCAGCTCCCTACCTTACTCCTCTCCGCCGTCCTCCCGTAAATCTCGAATGCTAACATGTCCCAACCAATTCCGACGCTTCGGAAGCACTCCTCGCCGTCTTGCTGGCGAAAACGCCTTTGGTTTCCCCTCCAACGCTCAACCGGGGCCGACATCCTACTTCTCCCACAGACAATCACTACCCATGAACACGGTGGTCAGGTTCGTGCCGCAGCAGACCGCGTGGATTGTGGAGCGCATGGGGAAATTCAATCGGATTCTGGAACCTGGGTTGGCGATCCTGGTTCCGTTTTTGGACCGTATTGCTTACGTCAAGAGCTTGAAGGAGGCCGCGATCGAGATTCCGAGCCAGAATGCGATTACGGCGGATAACGTTACTTTGGAGTTAGATGGTGTATTGTACACGAGGGTGTTTGATGCGTATAAGGCTAGGTGCTTTATTTGTTCCTCCCCCTCCGTTCCTTTACTGCGAGGTGTCTTGCGGATGTGAAGGTGAAGATGAAAAATTCCTGACAATTTTTGATTTTTATTTTTATTTTTTTACCCTTTTAGTTACGGAGTCGAAGATGCGGAGTACGCCATCTCGCAGCTTGCTCAGACCACAATGCGGTCGGAAATAGGTCAACTTACCCTGGATCATGTGCTGAAGGAGCGCGCAACGCTCAACACGAATATTACGCAGGCTATCAACGAAGCCGCGCAGGATTGGGGTGTTGTCTGTCTGCGGTACGAAATCAGAGATATTCATGCTCCCGAAGGAGTTGTCGCCGCCATGCACCGCCAGGTTACCGCTGAGAGGTCCAAGAGAGCCGAAATCCTGGAGTCTGAGGGACAGAGACAGAGTGCTATTAACATTGCGGAGGGCCGAAAGCAGTCCGTTATCCTTGCCTCCGAGGCTCTCAGAAGCGAGCAGATTAATATGGCAACCGGCGAGGCAGAGGCGATTATGCTCAAGGCCGCTGCAACGGCGAAGGGGATTGATGCCGTAGCTAAAGCCATCCGGGACGGCCAGGAGAACGCGCAGGGTGCTGTGAGCTTAAGCGTTGCGGAGAAGTATGTCGAGGCCTTCTCGAAATTGGCGCGTGAGGGGACCGCTGTTGTTGTTCCTGGGAATGTTGGGGATATTAGTGGTATGATTACTAGTGCAATGGCTGTCTATGGAAAGGTGAACGAAGGGCAAATTAAGAGTATGGCTGCGAAGGCGATTGGGGCACGGGGCCAAGGGTCGCAAGAGGAGGGCGGAGAAATGGAGGAAGTTTCTAGGACGGAGCCGAAGCCTGGAGAACTGACGCAAGGCCACTTTGGAGACACTGCTAATGCTATTACTGAAAAGAAAGGGCATGTTGCGGATAGTGTGCTTGAGGGATTCGAGCAGACTAGTCGACGGAGGAGTTGGTGATTTGACTAACCCATACTTCCATTCATACGATCGCTATCTGCTGCTCTCTCGACTTTCATAATCGATTATGCAGAACTATGCGGATTCACCATGGTCGCCTTTTCTCTCTCACCCACCCCCGTCATTATTTTATTGTTTCATCACCACACATCGAGTATATCAACCCTTTTATTCCTCTTTTTTTATCTCATTTTCCCGTTTTCAATCGACTATCTATTTCCCATTTTAACCTCTGAAAGAAAATTAAAATGCAACCAGGAAAGGGTATTTTATCTACCCAACTCAGCAGTTTGGAGGAGTCATTTAGTGTTGTTCTCAGTCTTTTGTGCAAGTTGACTTTTAAAAAGGTTATTCGGTCAACTGAAGAACGAGGATGTCAAGAGTGTACTTGTATTCTACATATGTAAATATGGCATCCGGTTGTAACGATTAAAACATATGGATAAATTAATTTTTACTGCTGAATGTCAAACGACTCGGAGCGGAGATCCACCCATGCATGCATGGTCCAGGCGTTTTCTTCCCCAAACCCAACGCAGCTCAGGCCAACAACCTTTTCAGTGAAACGGCAGAAAACGCGAAACCAAGCTGGGCAACGCCGCACGCTTATCAACTCCAAGTTCAGGAATCACCACCGCAACTACTCCGCCCACGTTAATACTGGTAACAGCTATCGTCTATACAGGTGATAGGACTAGCAGCATTGATTGCGCCACTTGACCCCTATCCTACTTTTGTATTCCTGTCGGCCACTTTAGCGATTCATTTGATACATGCTTATAGCCACCGCGACAAGACCTCTAGAACTCGATTCACTTCCAGCATATCTTCCCGATCTTGCCATTAGAATCGTGCGATGCTCCATTCCTCTGCACACTATTTTTTCGATTCGTAACATTTCCCCTCCGTCCCCCTCCGCATCCGCGCCTGCCCAGCAACTAGGAACCATCCAAATCGTAGCAAAGTCACGCATAGGGAGAAGACGACGGCACCAAGCAAAAAGTAGCCGGAGTGCAAGCCGGAGGATCAATAGGAAAGCGCGCAGAGGTGGAAAGCCCATAATCGGGGAAGAGAAGGAGAAAAGGACTGGGGTTCGGGCATCGACAAAGTGCGAGAAAGATCCAAGGGAATATGCATTTTATCAAGCCTGTCTGGTTGACGCATGGGGGTATGTGTCCTTTTAGTTACTCAGCACTTGCCTATGTGTATCCCGCGCTGGCGGTGGCCATGGGTCATTTAAGTCCTCAATTGCTGAATTGCTGAATTGCTGACTTGATGCTTTTTGTAATTTACTCTTATTTACAGGTGAACGGAAAGATTTTGAAGTCTACAGCTGCGATGTGTCACCGGATGGGAAGAGACTTGTAACGGCTGCTGGAGGTGAGCTTTCGCTTTGGGCATGATACATACTCCTCCCCAACCCGCGTCTTCCGTGGACATGTCCTGCTCAGCGCGAACGATGTTTCGTGTGGGGATTTACAGTTCCGGATAATGTTTGGAAATTTGATCCCTAACATGTGTGTGGTATAGATGGCCATGTTCGTATTTGGTCAACGGAGGCGATCTACAATGCCGCTGACCCTGCGTTTGCGAACAAGCCACGCCAGTTGGCGTCCATGAGTAATCATTCCGGCACAATCCATGCGGTGCTATTCTCGCCAAATGGCAGATATGTTGCTTCCGGGGCGGATGATAAGATTGTATGTATATATATGCTGGAATCAAATCCGCCATCACATGCGTCTACTTTCGGTAAGAAGTACTCCTATCCGTATCGTAATTGCTTCGACTACTCCCTATATTTGTCTGCAGTAATTCCCCTCTTTTCTATTTCTGAACATTGATGTTGATGCCTTCATTGCAGGAACAAATGAACCGCCTCCAGTCGAGAACTGGCGAACAATACGCCGATTGATCGGTCACGACAACGATGTCCAGGACCTTGGTTGGTCATGTGATTCTTCTATTCTCGTGTCCGTTGGCTTGGATTCAAAGGTCGTGGTGTGGTCAGGCCATACCTTTGAGAAGCTCAAGACCATCTCCAACCACCAGAGTCACGTCAAGGGCATCACATTTGATCCCGCGAACAAATACTTTGCAACAGCGGGTGATGATAGAACTGTGCGAATATTCCGGTTTACGTCGCCAGCTCCAAATTCAACGGCCCACGATCAGATGAACAACTTCGTCCTGGAGCAAACAATATCCGCGCCATTTGTCAACTCACCCCTGACGACATATTTTCGGAGATGCTCTTGGTCGCCAGATGGTAACCATATTGCTGCTGCCAACGCTGTTAATGGTCCCGTCAGCTCAGTCGCGATCGTTAATCGCGGGTCTTGGGATGGAGATATCAATTTAATCGGCCATGAGGGCCCGGTTGAGGTTTGCGCCTTTTCACCTAGGCTATACGATTCACAACCTGCGAGTAAGGCCCCTGTTGATAAACAGGGACACCCAATACATACCCTGGTTACTGTCATTGCGTGCGCAGGCGCGGATAAATCTCTCAGTATATGGATCACAAGTAACCCGCGGCCTATTGTGGTCACACAAGACCTGGCTGCCAAAGCCATCTCAGACTTGTCTTGGTCGCCGGATGGAAAATGCCTCTTCGTCACTGCTCTGGACGGCACTATCCTATGTGTCCGATTTGAAGAAAATGAACTAGGCAAGCCTATGCCATTCGAAGAAAATGAGAAATCGCTTACAAAGTTCGGCACTAATCGAAGGGGTGCTGGTATTGTTGAGTCTACTAATGGCTTATTACTGGAGGAGAAGAGCAAGGCTGGTGAGATTAAAGGGGTCGAAGGCCGTATGGGCGCTTTGATGGGAGATGGCCATGCCTCTACTGATCCAGGGGTGAATGGGGAGTCTGCCAATCTACCTTCTAATGCAGCGACCCCTGCTGGAGCATCCACACCTATAGGCGGGAGTGCTATTGCTGCCCAGAAAGGTCAACCTAATGGATCTGTGAACGGGGAGCAAGATAAGCGGGATCCATATGCGGCCAAGCTTGAGAGGCTCAAACAAAGACCTACCTATACCAAGGATGGGAAAAAACGCATTCAACCTCTCCTTGTCTCAGGTGCAGGTGGTGCGGAATCGTCCCTCCCCCAATCACGGTTGGTGGCTGCGTCGATGAGCAATGCTGGGAGGCCTGACGGGCCGGATTCAATTTTGGATCTCTCCAAGCCATTTGACGGTCTTCCCAAAGGTGGGCTGGCAGCACTGCTCTTCGGCAATAAGCGCAAGTTTGCACAGATCGAGGGGGCTGATGAGGAGGGGTCCATTGAGAAGCGAGTTGCATTGACCTCAGAAAATGGGTCTGTACCCATCCTCGCTAATGCTATCGAGGGTCTGCGACCTGCACAGCCTGGAGATGCCCAAGGAGGCCCTCGACCAATACCAGAGTTTATCAGACCCGCTGTAGTTAATCCCTGCATGGCTGTTAGCCAGCTACGTCTAGCGGTGCCGAAGATCAGGAGCCATATTTTACAAGCGATAGATTCGTCAGGAAACCCTACCAATCCGGCTGATACAGCGGCAGCGGCAACGGCGGGATCAAACCCGGGGCTCCTTCCAAGGGCGAAAGTAGACATACTCTTCGAAGCTCGCAACCCCCCTGCTTCTTCCGGTCGTCATATAGATAGGGAACCGGTACGAATCACCCTCACGCGCGGAGATCAACCGTTGTGGCAGGATTTCATTCCCAAAACAGTACTTCTCGTCACAGGAAACCGCAAATTGTGGGCTGCAGCATCGGAGGATGGCTCCATTTATATTTGGACGCCAGCGGGACGTCGACTTCTCAACGCTCTTGTCTTGGAGGCTCAGCCTGTGATTCTGGAATGTAATGGTCCATGGGTCCTCTGTATAAATGCTGTAGGGATGTGCTATGTGTGGAACGTAACAACACTTTCATCTCCTCACCCTCCCATATCCCTCGCTCCAATCCTGGACGCAGCAGTGCATACTCTAGCCCCAAATGCCACCGCTGCTCCCGCAATTAACGCGGCTCGATTAAACTCTGAGGGTCGCGTAATCGTCACGCTCTCCAACGGGGACGGCTACAGCTACTCCCCCACCCTATATACCTGGCAAAGGATGTCCGAGGGCTGGTGGGCTGTTGGTAGCCAATACTGGAACACCAAATACTCGACCGTCGGGGACCTGCAGGCCATCACCACCTCTTCCCCATCTACTGCCGGGGCGGCTCCGGGTAGCCGGCAGGATGGTGAAACGCGAACAACAGCAGTGTCAGCAGGAGTCATACCTTTCCTCGAACGTAACACCACAGACGAGACACTCGTGCGAGGTCGTGGATTCTTCCTGCAACGCCTGATCAAGGTACTTCTCTCCCGCGAGGGATTCGAGGGCTTCGAGGCCGGTGTCTCTGTCGCCCACCTGGAAAACCGTGTCGCCGCTGCTCTAGCTCTTGGCGCAAAGGAGGAATTCCGCCTTTATCTTTCTATGTATGCAAAGCGGCTCGGGGCTGAAGGCGCCAAGATGAAAGCGGAGGAGTTACTTGAGGGGCTTCTTGGGGGGATTTTTGAGGATGATGGAGACGAAGTTGATGGGGATCTTGCTGCCAAGGGAATAGAGGGAACGGCGAAGTCTAAGAAGTTATCGGTAGCTCAGGGCGGCAGCGCAGAATCTGGACCTGGTACCTGGAATAACGGTTCGGATAAACTTTGTGGATGGCCGAGGAGGACGCTGTTGAACGAGGTAGTCTTAGCTTTAGGTGGGCTTTTTCCCCCCTTAATTTGCTGTCCAACATTCTCATTCTTTAAATTCTTATTAACTCTGCCATAGGTAAGCATCGAGACCTCCAACGGGTCACTGTTCCTTACGCCCAACTTCTTGGAATTTTAGATGGCGATCAGGAGGATCAAGACCGAGATCAAGGTTAGAATCAAGATCATGGGGAAGATGCTATGGTCATATAACATAATCGTTTGCTCAAGTAGCTTTCCCTTTCCGCTTCCTCCTTTGTCCAT